GAAGCACTAACTCAGGAGTTACACCCTCTTCTTTATGTGTAGTCAATGAAAAATGTTCATTTTGACTCAGCTTGTAGGTATTTACGGAATTTTTCTCCACGTCCGCATCGTGTGCTTGATGCAGAGGAAATTTCATTCCTGCCGCTGTGCTCTCAGAAATGTCGATTTCTTGCGACGTGCGTTCAAATGAAGGGGAATTATCATTCACATCTAAAATAATAATTTCAATACGGTACAGTTTCAGAGGGTTATTAATAACAGCTTCTACACTGAGTGAGCATTTGGGCTCATCACCGCAAAGCTCCTCTCGATCTATTCTCTCGTTAACATAGAGGGCTCCAGTTTTTAGATTTACCTCGAAATATTTCCTCTTTGATCCAGCAACGATCTGAAACATGCGGGGCTCCAAATCCTGGACATTGATGCTCAGATCTTTCGCGACATTTCCGACAACAGTCCCCAGATTCACCTCCTCTGAGACGGAGTAAGAGAGCTGCCCAGAAACCGTTGCAGAGTAACAATCCAGCACCACGAAGACGAAATATATCCACACACAGCTCGATCTGCCGGGTCCAGTCATAATTACATTCAACAAGAAAAGGTGTGAAATAGTCACGGCGTTTATCATGAAACAATCAAACCTCAGAAAAAAAACAAAGGCGCCCACGTTTATTCTGGAACATTTCCTATAAACATAATCAGTGTTCAGTCCCGTTCTCGTTCACCCTCTAAATCTCTTTGTCTGAATCGCCTGAGAGACATCATCACCCTCTGAATCTGGGAGGAGCCCCGAGACCCTACAGAGAGAATTTGAATGTGATGGTCTACAATGTCCCCGTGTGGACAATCGGAAGGACTGCACTCAACTTCCAATATGTCATTACACTTCAGTTCTACAGCAGTTTAGATGCCAGTCCTACTGCTTTTACGCTGAAACATTCACCACGGAAACATTGTGACCGCATGTCATTCCACTCATTTTTCAGGAAGGTCTTTTCACACTAAAGCTAACTAGAGGAAACTGCTGAGCGATTTTCCTGTAACTAAAGAGCTTTGAAATTCGAAGACAATTTCCGACACAAATAAAATCGATAAACGTTTTTTTTTTTTTCGTTTTTCAGGGTTCATCAAATCAGTCTTTTTTCACGTCTATGGAGTCCTATCACACACAAAGTCCAGGGATACTGAATATAAAAATTGCGATTTAATCTGAAAATACTCTACATGAATACAAAAAAACACATCTGCCTCATTATTTGCTGATTGAAAATTTCATTAATTAACATGTATTCCACACGTTTCTGGGAGTAACATGCATGATTTCTCGATGCTCCTTACCGTTCTCAGTTAGAACGTCACTCTGGCTACACCAAAATCAATTTAAAAATCAAATGTAAGACATTAAAAGTAGAGTTTTATTCTACTGTGCTACGTTGAAGACTACCGTGTTCCAAACCCCACAAGACAGATGGATGCACCAAATCCCCAAGTGTTCTGAAATTTGCGAGGAAAAAAAAATATGGTCCAGCATGCACCACTGATTTAGATGGGAAAAGCATCACAAGAAACCAGAGCTAGTTACAGTTTATTCCAAGGTACTACACTTGTAGTATTTCTGTACTTAAGTCAAATTGCAGATTTTTTTCCCTACTTGGGCAGGATAGACCAAAAATTAGATAGCCTAAGAAAACGTTATCCATTGACCGTTAATTTACACCCATTACACAAGATGCGCAATTAGAAATACTTAATTCATCCATATTCTTACCTTTTCTTTGTTAGGTAAAGTCTGAGTCCTGGTAAAAGTGTCTCCTCCGTTAATACTGATCAGTTCT